CACCTAATTTATTACCTTTTGGGCTTGATGAGTTTGCCTTTGCCTTTACTTTTGCCTTTTCCTTTCTCCCTACCTTTGGGGTTTGGGGCTGGGGCTGGGGCGCTGTTGGAATGGACGCCGAGGCAGGTTCCTCACCGTCGTTTGATGCACTAGCTGCTTGTTTGATGACACCGGCTACAAATGCACACTCACTAGCAGCCTGTAAGGGTGTTTTTTTAGCATAATATTTATCTACTGTTTTGGGCCATGTGCAAGATAGTCACTGGCCATCTTACGTTTTGCAGCATCATCGGGATGCTGCCTTGCCACTTCAGTCTCCAAAGCTTTTCGAACATCCGTGGCTGTAAATGTCTTACGTTTATTTCCCTCGTTGGGTTTAAAGAAACCTCTTTCGCCCTGGAAGCGGGCCAACTCGAGGGACATGTTACCCACTTCGGTACCATTGTCCACCTTTCTGAAGAAAGGCGACTTTTCCGGCTGGACATCTTCAGGCATGTCACCACGTATATACCGGCGGTAATCCCTGAACATGTTGTACTCCTCTTTGCACAAGGTTATGCTGACCAGGAAGCTCGTGGACGTCTTGTGGTCCATGAACGAAATTTGGTACCTGTCGCCAACGGATCGTGCCTTATCAAAGTCAGCCAACTTCATACAGGATGCCACCGAAGGTCTTTGGGCATGACCAAGTTGAATTATCCCACAGGACAGGTACCGCATCACCAGGCGCTGATCGTCATCGGATTGTCGATCTGCCTTGGCCCGATCCAGGATGTCCCTCACCTCCTGTCTGGTTGCAGGATCTGTGTATCCCTTTTGAGCAACGGAAATGGATGGCGGTTGCCTGGTTTCATCTCTGAATTCTGCAACAGATTTATGGGCTTCCTCGCGTTTATATTGTTTACTTACACCTGTATATGAACAATTTGTAGCACTTGTAAACCTACGCAAATTATCGCAAACCCTGGGTGACATTTTAACATATGTTTGACAGTAGGTGAGAAAGGATTTGACTGCTGCCATGTAATTTTTAATGGCACCTGCAGAAACCCCGTTTTGCGAAAATACCATGTTGAAATGATGTATTTCATCTACGTGCTCAAATATATCAAAATTGATACAAGCCATATTACTATTTGGGAATACCTGTTTTGGATAAAATAGAAAAACTTAGAAACGCGGCGACATGTGTCACCAGCATTACGCCCTGCTTTTTTAAGAATATTGGTTAAATATTGCTTAAACCCTGAAAGTGTGGGTTCACTTTCAGGGAACCTATCATATAAGCCAGAGTTAGTTAGATTAGCCCTGACTGAGTTGTGTTGGTAATTATACCGAGTACCATTTCTGGTCGACCCAGTTAAACCAGTACTGGTACTCGGCATTGGATTATTATTTGAAGGAGGGCTACAGGTGCGTCCTCTCCTTGTATTGTGTGGCCAAAGTGTTTTAGTACCCTGATGTACTCAGGGATTTGGTTTTTGTTTATTGTGAATGTGCCACAAAATGCCAATAGAGCCGACATGGATACAAGCTGAGTAGCTGTATAAGACTCGCTTTGGCGGCGATTTTGGGCATGAATGGCGTTTATAGCAGCAATAGAACTGTTAGGATAACATTTTTTTAAATGCGCAACGCCTTTGTAATATGTTTTGCACTTTTGACAAACCACTGATACATTTGTGGAAGGCATACTGGCAAAAGATTCACTGTACTATGTTTCTGGGAGCTACAGAAAAGGGCCTTGATGTCACAGTTTTGTACTTGGATATTTTAAGAACCCTATTTATGCTATGTATCAGTTTGATATATTGAGCAGCGTAGATGACTTATTAAAAACAAGCAAAAGGTAATAAAAGTAAAGTTCACTTGCCAATAGGGATCGTCAACGCCGACTGGTATTCGTCCACTAAGACACTCGGTCTGTGATGATGATATTGTGAGCATTCACTTATATTACCACGTCCCCGCCAGATAGCCAATGGAATGGTTTAGATGAAGGTCACTGTCATGTGACCAAGTCGGATGTTTTAAGGGAGAGGAGGAAATTGTGAATTGCCCATCTCCATTCTATGCATGACGTCCATTTGGAGGGGCAAGGGCACGCCAAAAGGTGTGAATTGCCCATCCCAATGAAAACCAAGCATTCTATGCACATGGCTGAAATCAGTCGGGCGACAAGATTATAAAATCACAAAGCTGCTTATCAAAAGGAGGATATCTTCACGGTGACGAAATTAAATTTGCTGATTAGTGGTACATCTCCGGAAATTACCTGCCACGCCTCAGACTAAACAGTAAACACAGCAGAGTGATGGACAGCTAATGAAGTGATAATTAGATTTACAGGAAGCTAGAGATGTGCATGTATATACAACGAATCCACGAGGACAGGTCAAACAGACGTTATAAAAACAATGCTGATACGTAGATGTGATATATAGAGTGTGATATAAAGCTAATTAAGTGACAATAGAGGCGGCTTTTGTGATAAAGTATAGCTGTCATAACGCCGACGGGCCGACGGAGCATGCACGCCAGATCATAGATTTGATCCGGTTTCAGCAAAATATAACGGCGCGCAGAGCCCGACTATCAGGTGTGACTCGAATGCACATTATACCTTGGCAGAACCGCATTTTCAAGGGTTTTCTGATACACTAACATTATAAATAATAACACTACAGGTATTGCTGTTATGGTTAGATTCCAAACGCTTGTACTTTTTAGTTATGTCAAGCATGTTCATTCCTGTATTGCTCAACTATCTAATGTCGCACAACAACATATTACATATTCCCAGAATCCCACATGAATGATCTTGCAAATGCACTATAGATGTAAATATTAACACCGCCGGTATAGCCGGTGTACAAATTCATCTATATTCCGCCAATCTATATCACGTCCCTTATATTTTGCAGTTCGCACATTAATACTCATATAGCTCCACCACTGAATGTGCAACATGTGCGTATTATACATTGTCTAAAACACGCCTTAATAGGCTTTCAAACGCGCTATAGAAATGTATATTCCGAGGTGATGTGTAAGAATAGTAGCCGTTATATCACGACTGCGCGATGTTGGCGAAAATTGCTATATCACAGAAGAATTGAACTTCAGTAAAATTACACAAAACATCACGTCGGAGTTTCAATCTGGACTGGTTACCAGGGGCAGCACAATATTCACGTTTGCATATTTGGAGAGAGCGTTTCCCAAGGTTTCCAAGAACGTATAACATGCATAGATATGACAAAGTAGAAGGCTTGAAAAATGCCATGGCGCAGGCGACTTCCACCGGAGGCTGGGTGGAACAAGTTTCTTCCACCGGGGCCTACGTGGAAGAAAAACGCACAGCTTAAAATCACAGAAACCTTAATTGCTCGGCTATAAAGTTGCGTAAAAACAAACGGAAACATTCTCCGTGTAGCCACAGGACACATCTATCCAACGACGCGCGGCATGCGCGTGTAAGGCGATTTATGCAGCCCCCAAGGGAGCCGTGCTGAAATAGGTGATACAATCTGGGAGCATTATCATTTGCAGAAGCCCTCGGTCTTTTTCAACTGCCCTCCTTCGTCGGGCAGTTAATGGAAGACCTCGGGCTTCTGCAAATGATAATGCCCTGAAAAATAGCATTACCCTTATAACATGATTTATTGGTCTATAAAAACGATTGATGTTCATTTGTCAGCCATCGCAATTGTAGAACAAGTGAAAAGTGACAACATGACACAACTGGCAGACAACACACAACAGCATCAGCGACCGACTGGAGACAGGCGACTGTAGCCAGGGTTTTCCACTAACCGCCAAGCACCATTACAAGATTATGGAGAAGGAGGGCAGTTGAAAAAAGACCGAGGGCTTCTGCAAATGATAATGCCCTAATAAAATAGCATTACCGTTATTATTGCTAAAATACATGGAATTTGTGTTGAAAAGAAAAAGGAAACAATGAAGGAATTTGACTGTAGGTTTACTCAAACAAACTTCTGACGGGGTTGACTGCCCGAATGCAATTACGTCATCGAACAGAAAGTGACGATATTCGAGCTTGGCCTTTGACCATAGCCTGCAACATGTCAAACTATGTCAGTGTTCGGTTTTGATCAAACTACAACGTTAATAGTGCAATTGTTAAGGTTAGCACCAGCAAGAAAACCAATATTACCGCTATTTTAAGCGGCAATTCGGGTTGCTTTGACTTGTTTGACCCAGAATATCTGCCAGTCCAAAGCCAATGTCGAATGAACCGTAAGCCCACACACCCACTATTACGTCACTGGACAACAGAACTGATAGTGGCCCGTCGTTAAGGTTGAGCGTTCCAATATCATTTGCAGCGGCCGCAAATTTCTGATAATGGGAGGGCCGTTTCATGATAATTCCATGTATTTTAGCTATAATACATGATCATACCATGTTGGTGTTTGCTCATACGTGTTTGCGATTTTGCTTTTCCCCCACCTTTTCGGAACTGTTTGGCCGTACTTTATTCTACTCCCCTTCTGCTCCCCTTATACTGTCATGACTATATGTTTCAACTGTCAACTTGTAATGACACCAGGTGTTTGCCAAAAGGTGGTATCCTGCCCCACCGGACCCGTCCTAACCAAAAACCTGAAACAAACACACGAGAAAGTGTCTAACTAGGGAATTGCAGGTCACACTAGGGAATTGCATCGGACATCTTTAGTGCCAATGATGCTTAATATTGTCAAATATTCTCCACACAAAACTACCACAAAACTGGTTTGAAAGCTTTGCTGAGGCCTTGGATCCAACAACGTCTGAACAAGATTCTATTGCTCTTTGAAATCCTCGGGAACAGAGCATGCTCCAATGTACCTCAAATGTGTTTAAATGTAAACCACGAAGCCAACATCTGACTGCATATTGCTCTGCATAAAAGGAGAAACTTGAACCATCCGTCACGGCATTGTTGAGTGTTGTCGATATAAATCTAAATGTAAATCAAACACAAGACGCAGTCTCACTTATATTCTTTATTGTAAATACGGGTGGGTAAGTCAGTGGGAACTAGTATTTGATTGTTATTGAAATACAACATATAATCGATATACCTGAAGCTAAAGTATTGTCCAAGTTACATCGGTTTAATTTTGACAATTCGAGCACCTACTCTTGGACAGATTGAAGTGTACCTTCCAACTACTTCCCTTTCCAAGCGTACACTGACTCTTCTTTATAACATTAAGAACAAACCTCAGTGCCTAATGGCTTGACCCTTGTCTTCACAGGATTTGGGTTATGATATCAAACATTGTAAAGGCATAACCAGCAGCATTATCAATAGTGAAGCCCACAACTTTATGGATGACAACTTCTTAATTGCATAGAGCGACGGTTCGGTGAAGATTCTTCGACCGTTATCAAGCTAAAGGTGAGTAGGTGAGTACAACCAAATGATGACACGTATATCTACGTAGCATGTTATGACAACCAGCAGATTAACATTACCAACAGCGTGTAATTGAATACCACGTGGCACATAATTGGATGAGGCCAGGTGGGGACTAAGAACAACAAATAACACAGGTGATGAAGCCAATAAACGGAAGGATATTGATCTATGAACAACACCAGAAAATAGATGTCCAGCATGAATTCCAATCACATGGAAGGAAGTTAACAAACAAGATGAATAACATGGATCTCACCAAATATATAGATACCTGTCTAAGATTTACAAGACACGGATGAAATGAAAGTTTCTCTCAGAGTAGTGGCTTCGCTGTTTTTATCGACGTAAAAGTCCTTCAATGACGACTTAGATGGACCCCAGGAGCTGTCAGGTTTCAAGGACTTTTGGAATCTCTGGAACATGGTGCAAGAGCATTCATTTAACAATCTGTAGTAGATGATACTTTCGAAAATAGGACTGAATATATCGTCATACGAGTTACCATCGGTGCCATATATGATGTCCGATGCAGTTTGCTATTCGTACCATTTTGTCCCACGATTTCTACAAATGCTGACAGGTGGTGTCTTTTACACCGATAGATCCCATACGACATGGCCTACCGAATTCCCCATAGAACACCCCTGGGTTGCCCACAGCAACTAAATCCTCCAGACAGCCGAAAAGACCTGATCCAAGACAAATGGCCACACAACCACCACGTCATCAGAATTGCTCCATGCGCCAGAGAGCATTTGCATGTCTTGTCCCAGGGGGTGGCATTCGCAGCTATAGATGTCACATCAAATTGAACATGAGCGACTTTAGATGTGTGAGCCCATTGTCCAATATGCTGAAGGTTTGTTTTCGCTCTCACACCTCAATTCGGGTTTCAGTCATACCCATAGCGGTTGCTGTTTGACGGTCATTCTTAATGTTTGATATTGACAGCTTCAGTACCGTTTACTACAAAACCCATGCCTTTTGGCTTTTAAACTGGTTTGATTTAGTACTATGGTAAGTTAGGTTCACATTCATCCCTACCTGCAGCAGACTCCCTTCCTCCTTGTAGATGGCCTTGAACATCATCACAACCAATGGAATTCCCGGGACGCTTGCTGCACACCAACCGATGGTGGCTGCGTAGTCGGGGTAGACGTATTTCCCGTATGTCGGTGACTGGTACTGAGCCAGGGTGAAAATAAATGTCACCTGGAACAACAAATATCATCATTAATATTAAAGCATCGATGTGATGGAAATGACTGTTGTTTCTAACTCGCAATCGACGGACAGCTTATTGTCGTAAGGTAAATGTACAAGACATATTTGTATCACTTTCCGGAATCGGAGTGTCCTTTATTTTCACATGTTGAAGAAAAATGCAACTGTGATTTCACTCACTGAAGTCTACCAGCACATTGATCAATCATAGACACGGGGGTTACTGTCAAGACTTAGCTGATTGGATACAATTCCAGCTCACATCGGAACTTCTATATACAAGTCCTTACTTAGTAAACACGCTGGTGAGATTCCAGGTTAGGACTGTTGACCAGCGATCTACGTATTACAAGGGCACATTAACAACAATGTAAATGTAAACGGTTTGGATCCTACCAGGAGCATTGCCGGTGTGATGTAACACCAGGTTATCTTGAAGAACAACGGAGCAGGTCTTCCAAGCATCAGTTCAATGTCTGCACTCAGACGGTCCACACCTGAAATAAACAAACAAGCCTGGGTAAACAAGGTTAAAGTGTAAACAGTGTTTGCATGAGATATTGTACAACATACTGGGATTGACTGATAACTCTCATCAGTTTGTGAGCCTTCGTCCCTAACATGACTTTGTCGGGCTTCATCGGTAGCATCACTTCAAAAGGCTTCATCACTGTCATCACTTTGCCAGGCTGAAACGCACCATCACTTTGCCAGGCTGAACCGCACCATCATGATCACTTTGTCAGGTTTCATCACCTGGAACTCTTTTTCAGGCTTCATTTCTATGATTACTCTGTCACCCTTTGTTGTCTTGTTTTTGTTAATCACTGAATATAGACCCCTTTACAGTGTAATTCTGTCCTATCCAGTTCTTGATCACGTGATTCCTGAAAGAATCAGAATTCGACCCCAAATGTCGCCTTTGATGTATAATGAAGTTAAGATTCATACGTCAGCTTTTTTGATAAAATCTTTGACTTCGTGTTTGCTTGAACAGTGAAAACTCATGGTCCTTCATGCCAGCTTCGGTTAAATATACAGAATCAGTCGTGTGCTCTTACGAATCATCATTAAAATACATTACAGTGGTCAAGTGTCGGTCATAACTATCACGTAACTTGTTGTATTTCTTGATTACTGAAAGGGCCTTGTCCATTTCATTTAGAACCAGTTTCCACCAAACACGAGGTAATGTCATATTTTGCGACATACATGGACGATATAGCAATCTATCCTGTCAGTTGTTATCATTTGTATTAACAATCATCAACATGATAATATCAAGTTATTTCCTTCACGTACCATATATCCAGCCGAGAATGATGCACTCCAGAAACCCGTAGAAGATTAGGCATATGACGACGAAGTACCAGTCCATCAGTTGGAAAATATACATTCCACCCTGAAAAACAGAGGCCAGCTTTATGTATACAAATTACTACATTGTCCTGGTGGTTTTAGGTCTGGCTGTTGCAATATTCCAGCTACATGGCGGCCTGTATTCGATTGTGGACCACACAATCCAACGATCCACGCAAGGACATGCCATTAAACAGGTCACAGTGTAGCACCATCCAAAACGACATGGTCGCTTCTTACGATCTGCATTGGCTGCTGGCAATATATTCTGACCGGGAATACCAACACGCCTGATTGCTTCAACAGATAGATGTAACTATATATGATGTAACATAATTATTCAGACTGAATGTGCTCTACTACAAACCTCAGTGGTGAACAGTAGCCCCGGCAGAAAGGACAGAACACAGTAACCAAGGGTAACGACGACTCGCCATTTCAGCAGCCAGGGGTACTCATCCAAGATGGCCGATACCACAGTTTCCACCATAGAGAACTAGCAAACCGATGTAACATGCCTTAGAAAATATTTGGTTCTTAAAGGTTTTGGTAATTATCATACATATTTAAGGTAAACACGCATTGCATATGGGATTACACATCACATTACGATAAATCACTTTAAACGCTTCTAAGTAAGTGATATGTCAGTTCAAAGAATCACTTGTACATGCGCTGAATTGTATATTAGGCCGTGTTCGTATGTTTTTTCAGTCACACAATTTGGCCTTTAACTCTATATATAGTGTGCTTCTCTAATGTTGTTGCGGTTTGAAACAGACAGTTTCGGTTCCAAATCCAGTCAAGGGCGGTTACACCTTCCGGTAACCCATCTCTACTCTGATCACGTAGACCGTTCATGTCCCTATATCTATCAAAACCTTTTGAAAGTATGACAGATATTTAAATATTTTATTTAATATCACTACTGTAAGCATTTATCCATCCATAGCATTATACACAGAAGCAGTGCCTGTACAAACAAACTGAATGGTTTTCTCACCAGAGAATCAAGCCCCAACAAAATCAGCATAACAAAGAAGATGAAACTCCACAGTTGCGGAAGCGGAAGTTGAGCCAAGGCTTCTGGGTAGATCACAAATCCAAGTCCTGGACCTTTAAGAAATAAAACGAACCGACTCAGGATTACGAACTGTTTTTGGGTGTGACGTCATACTGCACAATAACCGTTTAGTGTAGCATGTGTTGTCTGTTGACCTCAAACAAAGATCCACAAAGCTGAGTTAAAATCTTAGACTGGTATTGATGAGTATTCCGGGAGTGTACTTGTAACTGATATGCTGTTGTGCTTTAACTCTTAGCTTAAACTCACCCTGCCCCAGAGAATACTTATAATAGTGGGGATTAGGACAAAGACCTTTTTTCAGGATATATGGTGATAACTTTGATCAGCTAATATTGATCTACTAATGAAAGCCTGCAGAGAGCAACCGAACTGTCGATAATATACACAATTCAAATGGAAATAGTCGCAAAAAGTTAAAACGTGTATAAAATGTGCATTGAAATGATTAAAACTCGGCACATTTTCAACGGAGGCCGCAACAAAGCATCCATTGGGTGCTCGGTTCTTGCCACCTGCTTAATTTCTTTGTTTGGTTTCAATGAACATGCTGAGTGCGTTATGTCTGTTTTACAGTTTATGGGGATTGTGACTTCTAGTTGCAAGTTATCAATGCAGTTATATTTATTTAATGTGTGTGTATGGTCCATGGTTTGGCTGCTCTCTGTGACTTTTCTTGAATATGCCTGTTATACTTTCATGATCTATTAGAGTACATTGTTAGCTCGTAATTTCCTTGTGAAGTAATTCAGCACGTACCCGAGGACACCACATCGCTGATGGGGATGTTAGCCTCCTGCGCCATGAATCCAAGGATGGAGAAGATCACCAGGCCTGCAAACAGGCTGGTTCCCTCACTCACGAACGTACAGATGACGGCATTCCTTCACAACAAAAAGTACTCGACGTTATAGAGAATACATATGATAATCCTGTACAGGTTAGTTTAAGATTGAATTACTAGCTAAACCGATGATACGAAATTACAAAGCAAAATATATTGTTTTTGTTTTGCATCAAGTTGAAAACTGAAGGATCTGTTCTCATATTGGATTATGTCCATTTAACCATCACACACATTCCTTCAATAGTTTGTCAAATGTGATCTGTGGCTGGGTAATTTGTGTGAGGATATATTGGGTTATCGGTTCATGTTTGAAATGTAGATTTGTGAAGGAAAATACACCAATGGGCATGTAACAGAGGCGATGATAGACAGTAAGATAAGGTGTCGTCATCATGTCCCATTACCTCGGCTTGACCTGATGAGCCGGGGCCAGCAGGGCGCTTTACAGACACACGGCCGCTTTGCTTGCAGAAACATGCATAATATAAGCAATACATTTCATTAAAATATACTCCCCAAAAGAAATTAAGGAACACACGAGCTTTTCATGTGACTATAGTTAATATGTCACTGACAGCTTAACTATTGCCATGAGATTGGTTGCCCTTTAACTAGTTTTGAGTACTAGATACAGTGAGGGTGTAACGATGTACAGTACATGCAGATAACTGCTATGCATAAGTTACAGGGCATCATAGTTTCATCCTCTTAATTGCCTTAAACTTTTTAATAGTCATGCCTCTTTTTGACATTTTCAGAGTATTCTGTCCCCAGTATGGTGCCAGGAATCAATTCCTTTAAACGGAATGACCTTACAAATGTCCTTACAATCACATTACAGGAATGAGCAGGCCTTATGTAGTAGGGTGATGGAAATGATCCCGTCTTGGAAGGAAGTTCTGGTGTGGAATGGATATATGGTATGTTATTGTGTCTAGCCAAACTGCATACATCGTTCCACCCGTTTTATTTGGGATTACACTGTCTTAGTAAAGTACAAATTCTAGTACTTTTGTTGGGTTGAGCCCCGTCCGGGATTCGAACCCACACCCTCAGACCAGGCACCGAACCGCCAGCACACAAAGTCAGCCGCCTAACACGCTCAGCAACCGCGATTAGGTGCCTGACTCTGAGGGCGTGGTTTCAAATCCCGGATGGGGCTCAACCCAACAAAAGTACTAGAATCTGTACTTTACTACGAATGTGTAATCCCAATTATAACATACGTTACATTTGACCACTTTCGAAATGGCATTGTGTAATCATCGTTACACCCATACATGACACATAACCCAGCCATTGAGGGGCGTGGTGACTCACTTGCATATTGACGTAACGTGACAAAGGTTGCACCATTCATTGAGAATGATGAGAGCTTGCTGTTAGATCTGTTAACAAGAATCTGTCAATAGATAGGCATTACCATCTAATAACATAACACGATGTAAACACGGTAAAGATTCGATCAAAAATATAAGAAAAACAATGATATTGAAGTTTTGAACGGCATTTAGCAATTATATTGGTTGTAGAAAATGACTAAATCTAGGTGTGAAAAACTCCACCGTGTGGAAATGAATGAACGTGGAAGTGGGCTATACTGGCAGCTTGGGGTGACCGCCATGCCAGGGTAACCCTGACGAAACTCCAACATGGGACTATCAAGGCTAGAGATGAAAAAGATGTTCTGATACCTTAGGTATTCGTGGTAATAGACTTTAATAGCATAATTACACTATTTCCATTTTTGGAAAAAATCTCTAGCAGAGTCCGGTGTACGATCCCAACTGCCTGTGTGTGAAATACGCATCATGTCGGAAAGCGCACGTAAAATCTCAAAATGCATCTTAAGCTTGATCAGGGTGTTCTACAGCATCTACACCGAAACGTCGCTTCTCATAATATATATAGAAATCATATTTCTAACCCTTACTTCGTATTCCAACTTTTATATGACTCTCAAAGAAATTACTCGTCGCAACTGTCGAACCGTAAACATATGATTGAATGAATCTCAGTATCATATTATAGGTTGAAAATGCAAAATCTTTTTTGAGGACACTTGTGTTTAGATACTATACAATAATTTGTCTAATAAAAATTATTTCCCAAATGACATATTTGCTCATGGCAAAAACAATATATCAATTTAATTTGAGACAGACAATTTAAATGCAACATTTGTGGTATGTGTCATAATAATCCGTAGTTCAGCATATATACTCATGCCAATAATGGTTGTCACCCCCTTCAAATTTTTTCATTGGAGAAGGGGTATGGGGTGACTGTGTGTGGGGTTGGGGTGGGGAGGGGGGGTGACAACCATTATTGGCATGAGTATGGTTTGACAATGGCGACGTTTGGAATAAGAATAAGAACCTATAAGAATCTATACCGAAACGTCGCCATTGTCAAACTAAAGAAGTTGATCACCAATAAAGTCTTGTCATCACTATACCCTTTGTTAGATGAAGTGTTTTGGTATCAGGCGATCTTAAATAATTAATCAAATTTTGAAAGCAATGATTTTATATACATATGCATCCCTTCCCTTTTTCATTGATTCTACATCTTAATGTAACGTTTGACGTTACTATATGCTATTGTACTAACAGTAATTACCTCAGCTGGCACCCAAAGTGTAACAGGTGTGTTTCATTTACAGCTAAATGCATATATCAAGTTCCAATAACGAGTCCCATGACAGGAGTCTATTTCATTAGGTTAATTTTGAAAATATCATGGACGTCTACCTGTATTGTAAGGAGACAATGAAAATATCGCAGTATTGTTTGTGAGTGAGTGAGTGATTGGTTGGCTTGTTGTTTGACGTCGCACTCAGAAATATTCCAGTGGCGGTCTGTAAATAATCGAGTCTGGAACAGACAATCCAATGATCAACAACATGAGCATCGATCTACGCAACTGGGAAACGATTCCATGCGTCAACCAAGTCAGCGAGCCTGACCACTCGATCCCGTTAGTCGCCTCTTACGACAAGCATGGGCTGGTGAAAAACAATTCTAGCCGGATCTTCACGGATAGTGAGTGAGTGAAGGGGTGGGTAGGGTTTAACCCTGTTTTTAACAATATTACAGTTTTATTCTGGTTTATGGCACAGCTTCGAACTAGGACCCGGGACACATCTCTGCCTTAGTACTTGGAATACATATTCCCAATATTTCTTGGGAAACTTGTCCCCATTGCAATGGAAACACATATTCCCAATAGTACCTGTGACACATTTCCCCTTAGTAATTGGGACACATGTTCCTCAGTAGTACATGTCCCGATCGTAATATGCCCCAGACGTACCTGGTGCATCGCAGCATCGCACATGGTCCCCGCTGACTCCCCAGTAGTGCCTGGGTCTATATACTGTAGTTTATACCAAACAAATACAAGGTTGTATGTTTTTCATTGTTTCTCTTATTGATTATTTATATCGATTCAAAACATGTCAGATTATACTGCAATCTAACAAATTGTACTGTATATCCAGTCTGAAATGGACTTTACTTTTCATGTTTAAGTATCTGAAGATTTTGTCATAGGAGTAGGCAACAGTATTGCCTTTGAAAAGAGGTAAAGGTCTCCCGGCTTAAACTCTAGAACAGTCGCGTCCGTGCCTCCACGGAGAGTGGCAGTAAACAGCCACCTGCAACAACGGTTTTACACTGTTCGATGACAGCACTTTGGCACTTATTCGACGCAATATTCATCCTCAAATGATTAGCTAATTTAGAATTGAAGAGAGACATCGAATCACCATATATTTGGAAGTTTGGAAAGTGCAATAAGTCTTTTCATCAGGACACAGAACACAAGACCAGAGCAAACATTAATCCACGGCTACTGTCCCCGAGTAACAGTTGAGTAAACGTGTCATTGTTTACATAATAATATGATACTCGGAACTGGTATTGATGAGTTTCTATATCATTAGAAAAAACGATATTTTTCTGGGACATGACTATTGGTCAAATAGAACAAATATGTCAGAAATAGACCTTTCATGGAATAATCTTGCACCCGGATATTGGTTTTGCAGAACTAATGGGTGAGGAGTAAGACCTTTCACGAAGTAGTCAGTGCCAAGGATACTGTTCATGTGGAACCAATGTGTCAGACGTAAGGCTTTTCGTAGGGTTTGATGTTTGGAACTCTACGAGTTCAATGATTACCTGAGACAGTTGGTGTTGAACCCGTTGTAGCTTGCCATGGTGATGAGACCTCCCCATGCTGGGCCGAGCGAGTAGAACACCTGGAGACAGGCCTCCAGCCACACCTGCAGCAGAGCAGGGAGTCATTTTCACCACACAAGGGAACAATATTTCCCTAATGTGTGCAAACAATGAAATGGACGTATCAAAGTTTGAAGTTCACTTAATCATTTAGCAGTCACATTTACGCAGATCATGTAAAAAGGGCATACTGTAAGGTGGCTGTAAACAAATCTAACAAAGGTCTGTAATGTGGTCATCATTTTTCATCATTTTTCGTATATTCTGAATTAATCGAGTAACGCTGATTGGTCTAATATAAGATGTCACTTTACACAAGGAAGTCCTGTTTAGTTAAAATCACGAAAAGATAGTGGTATGTATGTGTGATGTACAGTGATGTGCGTGACAGTGATGTACGTGACAGTGATGTACATGACAGTGATGTACGTGACAGTGATGTACGTGACAATGATGTACGTGACAATGATGTAACTGACAATGATGTACGTGACAGTGATGTATGTGACAGTGATGTATGTGACAGTGATGTATGTGACAGTGATGTACGTGACAGTGATGCACGTGACAGTGATGTACGTGACAATGATGTACGTGACAGTGATGTAAGTGACAATGATGTACGTGACAGTGATGTATGTGACAGTGTTGTACGTGACAGTGATCTACGTGGCATTGATGTATGTGACAATGATGTATGTGAGAGTGATGTACGTGACAGTGATGTACGTGACAGTGATGTATGTGACAATGATGTATGTGAGAGTGATGTACGTGAAAGTGATGAACGTGACAGTGATGTACATGACAGTGATGTACGTGACAATGATGTACGTGACAGTGATGTACGTGACAGTGACGTATGTGACAGTGATGTATGTGACAGTGATGTATGTGACAATGATGTATGTGACAGTGATGTATGTGACAGTGATGTATGTGACAGTGACAGTGATGTACGTGACAATGATGTACGTGACAGTGATGTATGTGACATGATGTGTGACAGTGATGTATGTGACAGTATGTATGTGACAGTGATGTATGTGGTATGTATGTGACGTGGGTATGTATGTGACAGTGATGTATGTGACAGTGATGTATGTGACAGTGATGTATGGGTATGTATGTGACAGTGTATGTATGTGACAGTGATGTATGTGACATGTGATGTATGTATGTGACAGTGATGTATATGGGTATGTATGTGACAGTGATGTATGGGTATGTATGTGACAGTGATGTATGTGACAGTGATGTATGGGTATGTATGTGACAGTGATGTATGGGTATGTATGTGACAGTGATGTATGGGTATGTATGTGACAGTGATGTATGGGTATGTATGTGACAATGTGTATGATGTGACATGTGATGTATGTATGTATGACAGTGATGTATGGGTATGTATGTGACAGTGATGTATGGGTATGTATGTGACAGTGATGTATGTGACAGTGATGTATGTGACATGTGTATGTATGTATGAGTATGTGACAGTATGTATGTGACAGTGATGTATGTGACAGTGATGACAGTGATGTATAGGTATGTATGTGACAGTGATGTATGTGACAGTGATGTATGTGACAGTGATGTATGTGACAGTGATGTATGTATGTGACATGTATGTGTATGTGACAGTGATGTGATGTATGTGACAGTGATGTATGGGTATGTATGTGACAGTGATGTATGGGTATGTATGTGACAGTGATGTATATGTGACATGTATGTGACAGTGGTGTATGGGTATGTAAGTACATAATGTTGTGAAAGTCAGCATCTTTTTAAAAGACCCACGTGTATTGAGTAGTCAGTTTCTGATAATAAGTAACAGGTGTGTCCAGTGATGCAGTAATCTGTGATGTTCTGATACAAAGGTTTACTATTTATTATAATCGGTAATATTAATCTTAGAAACGCAATTTATAGTAAAATGGAATTCAATGTAATCATGTTTGTTGAACAAACTTCCGGTTATTCTGAGTGTGTTTCTAATAAAGCACATCCTTTTAACATTTATTGAGCTATATTAGTACCATATTATTGTGTGAGAATGGCATTACATATACGATAGATAATTTCATAAATATATGATATATGGACATGAACCGAAGCATTTGTCACTGGAATACATTTGTAATAAATTGTATGAAACGAATAATGACATTACCGATAAATGAAAACGTTGAAGTGTCATGTGCTACAAACGGTGTTTCTGCTGCTTGAACTGGCCAAAGTAACTGAATGAAAATTGAGGTACATGAAATTATTAAATTCGCGTGCTATAATTTGCCCTTAATGAAAATTTTACTTTGCGACAGCAATATGTAGGCAACACCTGCCACAAAACGACAGTGCACTGAAACATAGTTCACTACAGTACAGTACAGTACAGCTGGTACAATACAATACAGTACAGTGTTGTAGAGTATAGTACCTAATTTATATATATGGTGCACACGGTTCTGCCCAAAACCACATACACTACTATTAACCAGGGACTCTCCCAACTGCCACATCAATTAGCAGACCCCGTTGACGCCTAATATTCTATATTGTATCCCTGGTGACGTTGATACGTCCTGCCAAAATGAACACCCGTGATGCCGTAATGCGGGTTTGACAAAAGAAAACAAGAGAAGAAATAGAAGTCTACACAACAAGAACTGGATTCGCCTAATCGAAAGGCACCCAGGAAATCCACCTGACAAACAAGGCGAGGATATCAACTCACAGTCGACTGGTCTGATATACACTTCACACTTATTGTAAATCCAATGGTGTTTACCTGAACTTACCTGTTTTGAACGCATGTGAAATGTTTAACTTCTATCCATATTTACCGAAACAGCATGTCTTTGAAATTGTTTACACAAGTGACGACGAGTCATGAGTGGAAATCCGGTGATGGGAAGTACAACATGGAATGTTGTGTGCTAACGACATAGAAACTTATCAAGGACCAATGACATTAAAGAAGAGGGCAAAGACATCATTTGAAAGAAACACCACTGCGTGAAACGTGTCCTCGATATTTAACTGCTTTGAGAGGCATGTTTAGAAGTTGGAGAGTCAGATAAGGACCAACTTTAAAGATGAACAACTTCTGCATTCAGGTTATGCATATTTCGATACAGATTATGGTCGCATCAACTGAATATAGAAGTTGTTCATCCTTGACGTTTGTCCTTATCTCCTCGATGATCAGGTAAAGCATGAATTCTGAGTACAATATGTAATTACCACGACTGAGAGATGCCTAGTGGGCACTGACAGCATTGACAGAGGGGACGTATTCTCTGTCAGGTGACAGGGGACACAGGTGAAAAGCACACTGATTGCAACACCAACATCCCAGACATATTGAACAGAATTGTACAACAAGACATTTCAGTGATGATGTCTTCAGTGTCTATCGACTCGGCGTCCAACGTTGAAGTACCTCTAAACCAGGACTGAATTACACAAACCTATAAAAACAAACTCAAGTATAACGGTAACAGATAACTTAACTATTCTCTGTAGAGGCATTCTACCACGAGAGGATCAACCACAGAATATGTCACCAACAGAATTGTTAGAATATTTTCCAGAGGGTGAAACCATATAGAGGACGAGTTCTTTGAAGGTGACAATAAAGGCAGTGAAAATGTCAGTGATGTTGACATACTTAAGTTGCAAACGGAAATACATAATGCTACGTCGTGTGTGTACATGTATATTGAGATAACCGATAGTACTGATGCAGGGGTCGTGTTACGTTCCCTCTAATTATCAACGTAACATGAAGACACACTTGGAAGAGCAATATACACATATAAAGTGTATTCAGTGGCAGTTAGAAATAGAGTGACAGTTATAATTCAGCGGCGGAACATTTATACTGGAATAACAGCGGTAATGGCAACGTGAATACAGCCAGTGATAATAATATCCGCCCAGCAGCAATAGAGGTCCAGCTTCCAGGGTAGACCAGGACTGGATATCCTGGGTGAAAATAACGATCTTACAGACAGCTGGTTCCAGAAATGGCTTTACTAAGCTGGACGATACGGATACTCGAGGAGCTTCCTAAGTACTCTTGTTACACAGTCTGAATATGGCAACGATCTCGCCACTGCCCTGTCCCCAGTCTTAATGAGTTTAAGAAATTGTACAGAAATGACCATGCCATACTTGCCTTAAGCATAATGACCACAGGACCCTTTATTAAAATAGAACTGACGTTGATGTAACAGTGAGCTTTATTATGTGTGCATCACCCACCTGTATTTCCAGCAGTTTGCTGAAGTCCGGAGTAAGGTAGAACATGGCGCCAGAAGGTCCTCCAGGTAACGTCAAGCCACGGACAAGGAGGATGGTGAGGATGATGTAGGGAAGTGTGGCAGTCACGTAGACAGCCTGCGATAGATGGAACAATATCTGTCAGTCTGTATTCCAAGGAAACAGCCCCATTCACACTATTCAGAACATGTTGCTTGTCTTATACTTTAAATCTGCGCCCTTGTACATGCAAGAATCACCAGCACTCAGTCGGTACTCTGCAAACATTTTACACATCACAAAAATTCAGTCCCATCACATTTTTAGCAACATATTCTTTCATAAAGAATAGAATAGGTTATGGTATTTGTAAAACTGTCTGTAGATAAAAGCTTCTTCTTTAACTACAGGTTGATTAAATTGATGGCTATGCCCTAACTTTTCTGTAGCATCACATAGTATTTTCAATATAGGGTTGTGCTAAATTAATGCACGGGTGTATATTATTGTTTGGCCCACAGACCAGGTAAGAAATTGGCACCAGACATAACCCTTTACCTCACCCAGTAAAAGAACCTGGCAAAATTCAAAATAGTGAAACGTTGGTAAAATGACGATGACATACTGCTTGGTCCACGCGACATCACGGCCGCGTTGAAAGACTACTGTTGAAAATCCACGGTTCACTAAACACTGTACACAACCTTCGTTGACTTGAGAAAGCGATGAGCACATGGTTGAATCTCGGGTTTCGTTGGCCTGTCTGTCGAATGGTCTATCAGCCGATGGCGTGCTGTGCTTCCAGGTCTTGTAGACGACCTTCCAGGGAAACACGGCAACTATCGAAAGGTAGGTCCACTTTTACATCGATTCTAGCATCTGCTGCACCTTCTGGATACCCAGATGGGTCTCTTCTTGCTCCTCCTCGACGTTTTCTATTTCCTGCTGGAGTTCTTCGAGTGGGGAATCGTCGTTGTCTTTGTCCACACTAGACAAGATGTCGACCTACAAATTCGTGGTTTGCCCCACACGAGCCAACAACATCATCACGTTTTGTTCCACATGGGCTGACAACATCGTCGCAGTTTGCTCCACATGAGCCGACAACAGCGTCGTGTTTTGCTCCACATGAGCCTTGATCTTCCCCAGACAATCGTAGAAGTCCTGCAAGGTCGGATTTGGAGCTGTCTCTCTAGCGGGCAAGATGGTCAACGGTTCTGCAGCAGACAATACGGCTGTCGGATAAGGCGACATCGGATTTGGTGCTATCTCGTCGGCAGGCAAGAGGGTTCTGCAGCAGGATCTCGCCATAGCTCGTACAGCCTTGTGGACATAATACCGAAGCTCTTTTTGACTTCGTTTGCCGGGAGCACACCACGAAGGGAGCGTATTTCTTGGATCTGGTCCGAAGACAAATCTCTTCTTGGTGGCATGGTTGTTTTTCCCTGGGTATATATATATCCCGTACTTTCCATATGTGTATATGGGAATCATCCTCTCCCAATCCTCTCCCAGATGAAGCTATTCCTGCCCAAAGTCTGGGAGCAGCAACTCGAACTTCTCGATCATCTTTACTTTTCGATATGGGTGAGTGGCAGATTTTGCCGAGCCTGCACAGAAACGGTCCACCCACCAACCATAGGCGTTCTATTCCGCCGGCGTCTTGAATCATTTCTCTTATATTGTAGCCGTAGACTGGAATCGTTTCTCCAGTTGGCGAATCGAGAAGCAGCAACAGTCGGTTCTTCCCTTCGTATTTCGCTACGGCAAACTTTTTGTACGTGTAGATTCCTTCCGGAACGTCTGGCGCTTTTCGGTGTTCGCTGCACGGAGGGTCTGCCACTTCCATATCCTTGGGTCTGCCGTAGGTTGGGCAAAGGGGTATGCCAAATATTGTTCTGTCCCTGTGGTAGCTCTGCTTTTCCCACTACCTGTCTGAAGAGACAAGAATCTTTCTTCTTGCACGGGCAATTGTCCACCAATTTGTCGAGGAGGAGTGTGTACCATATGCTCCAGAAAGCACAGTCATCGTCATACAGGTTCTCTATGTTCGAGAAACAGCCGTCGATCGAGATTTCTTCCGGAACCTCAAGTGGGAGTCGCTCCTGGGATGTGTAGTCTATCGCTTTCTTTTTCCAAAGAAAGCATTTCTTGCTGTCGACGCAGTGGTCGATGATGCCACACTTCCATCTAGAGTTGTCGTGTCCGAAGAGATAGGGGAGTTCCGATAGAGCGGCGAGCCAGTCAGTGCATCGGTTGTGTCTGTCCTTGGATTCCCGGCAGTAGTCGTCGTCGAGAACGATTTCGGAGTTTGCATGCTGCGGATCGAAATTGGTGGGGTGGGTAGATGTAGACGAAATCAGCTATTTTACCCGCCTTCTACGAATGGACGAAAGCACACTGGCAAGGGATCTGGTAGCGCTCGTAGAAGGTGTGTCCCGATTGCTTCTCTCGATCGGAAAGCAGCACATGGCGACACTTCTCCAGCAGGGTCTCGAAGACCTCTGCCATGTTGGGAGTTCTCATCATCTGTGGCTCGGGGTCTATACGATCTGGAATTCGTGTATATCTGGCTTGCGATATGTGGTACTTCCTCTTCGCTTCCCGAAGGGACAAACGACGAGATCGGATCGCCCGACAGCTTGGTTCCTGGCATTTTTTCTATATCCATGCACCCGCATAGCTCTAATTGGAATGCACTTGCGGCGGGAGACGAAAAGTGGTCTTATCGAAGTTTTGTGTAAAACACTCATTTTTGGGTGGCTGTGGGAGAGTGGAATTAGCCAGTATAGAAGCTTCTAGGCAGGGTGCACCTATACAACTATTTCTCCCCATTGCTATACTACTGACAGTAATTTGTACTGAGCTGAAAGCTTAGTTCAGTTTGTGATACACTTTGGAATTGAATAACTGTTTCACAGTGAATTCTTTTGTGTACAGATTTCAGGGTTAACGTATCATTTCAGTGTGGACATCGACGCGTCGACATACCCCTTTGTTAAATATTGTGGACACGCGAAGTTTGATGTTGAATCCTGAGGTTCAGATATATACTTTAGTTTAAATGTAAGTTACCTAAAGACTGTTGACGAATCAAAGTTTTGAAGTGACATATTACTAAACCAGAATCTGATCAGTTCCTTTAAGTCTCCCCGAACCGCGTTCTGTTTATAGTGCAGCAGTAATAGCAGGTGCCGTGACCTATCTCCGAGCCCTCCGTCGCCCTGTGTCTGCTTGCAACAATTCATGGAAGTTGTATGTATTGGATGTGTAGCTGATGACAACCTGTCAGCACGAACACCATGCCCTTTTCAATTTCCCATGAAAATATGCTTCAACAAACAACCCTGGAGTGAAATCTGACACCGGCTAAAATGAACCTAAAGTGTAAAACATAAAGTTTGGGTAAAAATATGCATCAAAACCTAGGTTGAGCCATGCGTAAGTCGGTGATTAAACCAATCTTAAGTCAAAGTGTAAACGAAGCTAAGGTCATTGTTTAGTACAGTACGTCAGCTCACCTTTCCGACTGACCTGACTCCCTTTACAATGCATCCGAAGATGAGTATCCAGGAAGCCAAGAGACACAGCGCCAGCTCCCACTTGATGCTGCCCAGCTGCTCTAGCCCACCACTGATACCGAGGGCTTTATACCTGGAAACACATCAGGTGAGTTTGGTTAACATGGCCACCCCCACTGATACTGTGGGCTTTATACCTGGAAACACATCAGGTGAGTTGGGATAACATGGACACACCACTGATACCGTGGGCTTTATACCTGGAATCACATAAGGTGAGTTTGGTTAACATGGACACCCACTGATACTGTGGGCTTTATACCTGGAATCACATCAGGTGAGTTGGGTTAACATGGACACCCCACTGATACCGTGGGCTTTATACCTGGAATCACATCAGGTGAGTTGGGTTAACATGGACACCCCACTGATACCGTGGGCTTTATACCTGGAATCACATAAGGTGAGTTGGGTTAACATGGACACCCCACTGATACTGTGGGCTTTATACCTGGAAACACATCAGGTGAGTTGGGTTAACATGGCCACCCCCACTGATACCGTGGGCTTTATACCTGGAATCACATCAGTTGAGTTGGGTTAAAATGGACACCCCACTGATACTGTGGGCTTTATACCTGGAAACACATCAGGTGAGTTGGGTTAACATGGACACCCCACTGATACCGTGGGCTTTATACCTGGAAACACATTAGGTGAGTTGGGTTAACATGGACACCCCAAATGATACTGTGGGCTTTATACCTGGAATCACATCAGGTGAGTTGGTTTAACATGGACACCCCACTGATACCGTGGGCTTTATACCTGGAAACACATTAGGTGAGTTGGTTTAACATGGACACCCCAAATGATACCGTGGGCTTTATACCTGGAAACACATCAGGTGAGTTGGGATGACATGGCCACCCCAACTGATACCGTGGGCTTTATACCTGGAAACACATCAGGTGAGTTGCGTTAACATGGGCACCCCCACTGATACCGTGAGCCTTATACCTGGAAACACATCAGGTGAGTTGGGTTAAGAACTTAACATGACCTCCGGTAATATTCCAGCTTCACATATTGTACAGAAGCATAGTATCGAAACCGTTCTTCCTGTATGTTTGTGTGTGCGCGATTGTGTGTGCGTCTCTGTGCGTGTGCGTGTGTGTGTGCGTATGTCTGTCTGTCTCTGTGTATGCATGTCTGTGCTGACTGTGATGTGTTTACTTGTTGACTTCTTTCTCGTGAAACAATCAATAAAATAGAAATATACTGAACCGTACAAGAAACGTGATTTTCAAAAACAAATGCAAAATTTTGTCTTACAAGGTGGTGTTTTTATTGTTATTGTACCGTTTTGTGAACATGTTTTTCAATCCAAATTGACAGTTTTTGTGTTTACTAATGAAAAAGCATATCGACCAAACGTACCTAAAAAGACAGACGTGGTAAAAGGTTCCGTATGACATTCGCGAAAATGAAAATGCACTTGCAGATCAGGACAACCCTACCAATGAAAGCGAGTCCCAAACTCGCCTGAAATCATTCTTGTGTTGACACAATCGCCATACCACGACTTACGAGAGATGAGAGGAACCAAGCCTTGGGACGAGTGCAAGCTTGCCAGGCTGCACTGAGGGTAGCCAATCATTTTAATGTTTATGTTAGGACACTCTACCGACTGCATGAACGGTATCAGGCCACTAACAGCATCCCAGATCGTCCACGAAGTGGGCGACCTGCAGTAACATCACAACGTTAAGACCGACAGATTGTGCTGAATCATCTGCATGATCGCTTCACCAGAGCCACGGAAACAGCTCGCCAGACCACTGGGACACACAAGAGACCCATTAGTGCCGATACATTGCGTCGACGTTTGCGCGAAAGAAACCTCTGCTGTCACAGACCATGTCGTCGTCCTGTCCTCACCGCTCGTAATCGCCCAAACCGACTGTAATGGGCAACTCAGCATCGAAATTGACGTTATCGAGAATGGGGAACTGTGCTTTTTTCTTATTAAAGACGATATTCGTTTTGACAACCGATGGCAGAGTGAGAGTATGGTGACGGCATGGGGCACGGTTTTCCAATGCGTGTATTGTTGAAAGAGACTCGTGGGGTGGTCCAAGCATCATGGCGTGACAGCTGCTCGCTATACTGACCAAGTCATAAGACCCCACGTTGTACCACATTTTGAACGTCGCAGAAATCACATCTTCCTGCAAGACAACGCTCGTGACGCCACTGCCAGGCCAACACTGGACTCCCTAAGACAACATGGCATCCAATCCCTTCAATGGCCTGCACTCAGTCCGGATTTAGGTCCAAAAGAAGACCTGTGAGACGAGATTCAAAGAAGACAAAATGACCTTCAACCAAGGCCGACAACTCCGGCTGGACTCGATCAGGCATTAAGCAGAGTACGGACCCAAGAGCCTATGGCCTTCAACAACCAGCTAATTCATTCCATGTACAAACCACGCAACGCCGTCATCGATGCCCATGGAGGCCAACACGATACTGATTTTGAGGTGCAACCATCTTAGTGCGACCATTTTTTGGTGAATTTGTTTGTGTGAACTCTAAATGTGATTCCGGAACATGTGTTAACTATAATTGACAAGTTTAAACGCAATCCTCCGTGTTGATTGTTAATTAGATCGATTTAAAGTGTGTGGTTTAAGAAACCTCTATCGTTTCGCGTTTCTTTTGCGGTTCAGTATATAATTATATTATCCAATGTTAACTTCACGTACAGCGTAAGAAAACGATTATATATACACAAACCTGCACCTATTTCAGTACTTCATTTCGTTGTATTTCAAAGCTAAGCCTTTAACTCGTAGGTAGTGTTTGTAATAACCTACGAAACGTTACTGTAACGAAACATGCTGACAGGAAATAGCAAAATATAACCTATATGCTGTGCTTACTGCCAGAACTCCTCTGCCGCCGTGTGGGCCAGGCTGTCATTGGTTCCCCCATCTGTGACTGACGGTAGTGTTGATGTACTCTGTTAGTGTTGAGTTCACATCCGTCCCATTTAACACTGTAGAGTTGCTGACTGAATACAAAGAAAGACGAGTTCTTGCATTATTTTTATGTTAGTTTCTATTTCATCCGGACAGTAAATATGCTGCTTCGTACTACTTTTAATGCATAATAAATTGTAGAGCGCAGCAATTCACAATCATGATGTGGTCTGCGCTCTATCAGAAAGCTCTAAGTTAGGTATGAGAGAGTATTCTGGATACTGATTGGCCAGTTGATGCAGTATGACGTAACTCTTCTTCATTGGTGAGAAGAACAAGTTACGATGCCATCTATTTATAATGACGTTACAATATGTTGGAACTCAGTCACATTTTGTTTGTAAAGCTTCCACGTGCGTTTTCATTTATTTACGTTATTACAATAAAAACGTGTAACATATGGCATAACGTAAGTTGTAATAATCCTTAACTTGAGTAATATGTACAAAGACTTGTCGGTCCTTTACGGCCACCATATTTGGAGGAAATAATATTTCGCTGTTGGCGTCTCCCACAAAGGCCTTCTTTCTCTCGCTCTCTTTGAAAACACACGGAATATAAGTTTGCTTCATGACAGACTAGAACCCATGTCTATTGCTGTCGTTTTCTTTCGCTCTGTACTGTTATTCCTACAGGTGCACAATCCCAAATCTGCGTAGTTGTGATATTCGTGTTCAATGAATACTAAGGTCGATTGAATCAATGTATTACACAGCGGGGTATCATTCACCAAGGAACTGTGACGCTTGACGTGTTTCAATGCTAAGGCCAAGTTTAAGGTCTGTAGAACGCCTGACCTATTTGTGTTTGTGCTGTCATGCTCTGGCTACATAATTGTACGCTTGTACATTGTTGAATACAACAAGATCAAGATATGAATGACAGAATATAACCAGGGGGCGATCTTCGTTTACACAAATACGTTCGCCTTACGTTAAATTTAAGACTCATTCAAGAAGTTGTAAGCAATAGGAATCACACGTGTTTATGGATGATCAACTTTTTATTGTACTATTGGGACGTTCGGTATAGATACTTATACCGTTTATTCTGTCATTTCATGCTTGAAAACGGTATAAGCGTCTATAAACACTTTCCTATGGCTTACGTTTGGGAGATCAGAATTGCTTTTTCTATCTGACGTTACATACTAAATGATTTATATTCAAACTGTAGCTTGAAGCACGAACACGATGAATAACGGATACGTGTGCTCGAGACTGGGACAAGCTTCTAATACAATTACTAACGTAATTAAGACCGACAGAATGTGCGCAATCATCTGCATGATCGCTTCACCAGAGCCACGGAAACAGCTCGCCAGATCACTGGGACTCACAAGAGACCCATTAGTGCCGATACCTTGCGCAGTCGTCCGGTTGCCTCGAGGCTATTTAAAATCTGACTTCAATTGTTTATAAAAATTCTCAATGGTTTACAGCAGGTTAACAGTTATTCCTCACTACATTCAGAAACTATTGTAGTTAATTGCTATAAATACTCACGCCAGCAATAACACCTTAAGAAACTGCTCATTTAATCATTACGACAAAACAACAAACATCAGTAGTCAGTTTCATTGTTCACCGTTGTTAGGACTCCGGCAGTGGGCGTGGTTAGTGGGCGTGGTTAGCCGTGTTAGCAGTGGAACAACTTGCAAAATTCGTATGTAGCAAGGATGTGATACATTTACTCAGTACATATCTGAATAGGACGTGAATGTTGTGTGTAACACATGGATCACCCTTCTTATATTTTGACATGACTTCCCACTTCCAGAGTATGGATTTGCTGGGAACCCATTACTGAAGGAGGGATGCGTCCTACCTTCAGTTCGCCCTTGGGACATGACTTGCAGGCTTCTCACACAGTCGTCAGTGTTCCACGAGTTGCCACAGTCCGTCCAGGGAAGGACAGCTCGACATGAGAAGACGGTGTAGTACAGTGCCCACGCGCAGATGGTGGTGTAGTACACGACGGTACCGGCAGACATTATCAGCATCCCGATCCCAACACCTGATATAGAAGAATCAGTATGAAGCTAGTATGTCAGGTCTACCACCAATCAAGTGGTCAGTGCAATGGCGTC